GAATTCAGTTTATTATGGCCTGGAGATTGGTTCGGCCATGTTAAGGCTTGAATTATGAAACCGGATGACTGTCCTGTTAATGAGGCGGTCATGGAACGGGGGAGTTCTTGCTCGAACTTGGGCGTCTATTCCACCCCTTAATCATGACGCGAACGCCTGAGCTCCCTTTTCTTGGATGGCCGTTGAACATATCACGCGCAATACGGACATCATCAATTGTAGTTTTGTACAGCTCCATCTCAAATTCCCTGAAAATTGTGGCGACTGCCAAAAGTATTTCAGCCTTCGCGAGACTAATGGACCGATGTTAGTGCACTGTAGCATTGGAACAAGGAACCAAGGAAATTACACATACGGAATGCCGATACACTGCCTTGATCCTTTGCTAAAGGCGACCAGGTATTTTTCGAGGTGTTTCCTTTGTGTTGGATCCATCCATCTTTCGGGGACAAAACTTTGGGAATTGGGAAAAATATCTTCATTATGGTGTATAAATAAGCTTGTCATACCGACGGGCACCTAAAGTCTGTGGTAAGCGGGCGTTGACTTGAAAAAAAGTAGGAAAACAAGGCAAGTTACCCCAGGAGGAATGACCCAATCTTTATACCTCATAGGCCGATCTGGGGAGCTACGTTGAAGCCGAGTTGCAACAGCGTTTGTGATTCTGCAAATCGGAATGAGCAATCAGATAAATCGACTATAGTGAAGGAAAGTTTTATACCTGAGGCCCTCTAGCATAACAGAAGTCTGGTTCTGTCAGCGACCAATTTCCATTGCAAAATGCAGCCAAGACATAGAAAACTCACCAGGTAAGGCATTGACTCATAATCCACTAAGGACGCCGTCCTATCGGGATCCAGGTGATTCAGTTCCTCGCGTAGTTTCTGAAGCTTTTTAGGATTATTCAGGAGGTGGAAAGTGATGGTGGCCAAATTTCTGGCAGTCGTTTCTCCACCAGCCACAACAACAGTGAAAACCTCTTGGCTTAAGCGATCAGCTGCTTTCTCTTCTGGTGGGAGTGTGCTTTCCAGAAAAGCATGAAATAATGTGCCTTTGGGCACACTTGGCCTGTCGCCTTTGGAAATGCTGTCGGAGGTTTGGCTATCAATGACCAAGCTAGCTAGGCGCAGGCTTTCAATTTTCTGGTCGATAACTGGCCCGATGTCAGGGTTGATGCTAACGACGAGCCATCGTGGGAGTAGCTCGAACAGGCTTATCATCCAGCGGAATTGTTTGAATTGAATGCCCGCATGCACGATGGCCTGGATTGTTTTGGACCATTGTGGGCTGAAATCAGGATCATCAAGATAGTGAAAAGACTCTCCCATAGTGTATTCCACGACCACGTCTGTGGTGAAAGCATTAAACGCGTGGTACACATGTAGTGGAGCAGGTCTATCCTTCCACGCGCGCATACCAATGCACAATTTGTCAACCATACCCCGAAGCATTGGCTCCAGACGTCGGATTCGTTGCTGAGAAAAGAATGGATTCATTGGTTGACGCCGCATCCGATGACACCGATAGTCGACTGAGCCGAATGCGGAAGCCGGTGCCCCAAACATCCCTGTTAAATGTAATGACTTATTTCGCGGGGCATCTCGAGAGTACAGTGTTTCATAATATTCAGGATCGTCAATGTGTAGCTCGTAAGGGCTGATTCGCACGACTGGGCCATATTTCCGATGCATCTCGGCGATTCGAAAGGTGTATTGACCTTCTAGGAACGAATCGTAGTAAAATTCATACCACATTGTCAGAGCGGCCAATTTGGGTCCCGGGAAGTGAGCAATAGGTGAAAGCCATAGCCGATATATACCTAGCCAAAGCGCGTAGGCCGCCCCCGCAACACTTAGGGAGAGCGTTGCGTGCCACCACACCATGGTCAACAGAGTAGCAAGTGGAAGAAAAGAATCTAGTACAGCCACCGAGGCAAAGAAGGAAAGAGGAAAGGAGGAAATACATTCTTAATTGGTGGCCAACGACCTTCCTTTTTATACGCTAGAGCTGCTCCCCACCCGGAAAGATTAGGGTTTCTAGGGCACATGAACGAGTAACGTGATTCACGGTCTCCCGGGCGACACTGCCGGTCGGGCGACCCCATAAAAAATCCCCCTCAATAATAAAACATGTTTTTTAACCACAACAAAAATGCCCCCCCAACGCTCTGATCGAAAAAAAAGTTGATAGAGCAGGAGGGCCGTCTTTTATTAGCTATAAAGGCTATAAAAGATGGTAAATATCCCTCTGCTGCAGCTGCTGCACGATCATTTGATTTACCTGTCTCAACTTTGAAGTATCGGATCAATGGGCGCGAATCTTTGGCTGAGAAGAGACCAACTGGCCATATTTTCACTGAAATTGAAGAGCAATCAATGGAAAATTGGTTACTTGATATGGATACCAGAGGTGCTGCTCTCACGATGCCTATGTTGCGCGATATGGCCAATCTCCTACGAAGTGCCCAGAAAAATACCCCCTCCACTATCGGTGTCAATTGGCCTACTCAATTTATCAAACGACGCCCGAATTTATCCAGTCGACTCTCTCGAAAATACGACTATCAGAGAGCACTTTCAGAGGACCCTCGAATTATTAAACCATGGTTTGATTTGGTCCAAAATACTATTGAAAAGTGGGGTATCACTTCAAATGATATTTTCAACTTTGATGAGTCTGGTTTTGCTATGGGGGTTGGCGCGACACAGAGGATTATTACCTCGGCTGAATACCATGGGAAAAGAGCTCTCTTACAAGCCGGAAATCGCGAGTGGGTGACTTCAATTGAGTGTATCAGAGCTGATGGAAGTGTTCATCCTCCACTCTTTGTTTTCAAGGGAAAACTTTTTCCAGCGCATCTACGCCAACCCCTCCTGAACAATCAAGAAGGAGCTGGTCTTACTACAAGTAAAAATGGCTGGAGTACCAATGAGATTGGTATTTGGTGGCTAAAATACTACTTTATCCCAAATATTGGGAGAAGGGTAGGAAAATATTGCCTCTTGGTCCTGGATGGTCATGGTAGTCATTTGACCCCTGAATTTGACCAACTTTGTGATGAAAATGATATCATTGCAATCTGCATGCCTTCCCATGCCTCTCATCTTTTACAACCTTTGGATGTGGGTTGTTTTTCGGTTTTGAAGAGGCTTTATGGAGGAGCGGTTTCAACCATGATGCGGAATAGAGTCAATTCTATTGATAAGGAAGATTTCCTTGAATTGATTGCAGATGCAAGAAAGGGTGCTTTTACGGCCTCTACTATCCAGAATAGCTTCTTGGCTACTGGATTAACACCATTTAATCCAGATAAAGTCTTGGAAAAACTGAATGTGCGCCTGGATGAACTTCCTCCTCTTGAGATCCTTTCCCAGCGACCACTCTCTTCCGGCAGTGATAGTGATCCAAATACTCTCTGGACTCTCTCGAAATTCTCAAAATCGCAATCTCGTATCAAAAAAGGTCTAGAATCTTCTTCTTCAATCCTTTCTTCGCCTATTAAACGGGAGATTAAGAGGACCTACGAAATGACCATAAAAGTGGTCCACCGCCAAATTTTCCTCCAAGATCGCTGTATACAATTAGAGGCAACCAACAAAAAACAGACAAAAAAACGAGTGATCAAACATACATTTATTGATCAGAGAGGCATTTTAAGGGGTCAGGAGAGCAGTCAGAGTGATGTGGTTATTGAGAAGAAGGATGTATGTAAAGATATATCTTTGCTGGAGATGCCTGTAGAACAACCTACAGAACCTGCTTTACCCTCTATGCCTACAGTTAGGCGGCAGGTCACCTGTTCTGGATGTGGTACTAAAGGTCATACGTATATTAAATGCCATACACGTGTTAAATAGCAAAATTTAAGTTGTTTTTGTGGTATTATTCATGCTTAAAAATTGAAGGTTTTTTCATTTTTGGTGGGGCCGCCCGACCAGCAGTGTCGCCCGGGAGACCGTGAATCACGTTAGGACACAATGCATTGCTTACCTAAGATATTTCAAAAGCCCGCAACTATCTAAAGAGATGGATAAGGAACCCAAATCGTCTGAGCGCGGTCTTTGGTAATGGAGACGTGTTTAGAACCCCAACTGCGCCAGTTTGGTCATGTCGAAGGTTGCTCAAGTGGGCTGAATTCACTAGCGCAGCTGCAGCCCGTCGCTTCGGGACGGGTCAACTATCTTTCCCCCCGACCCGTGAGTCTACATTACCCATTATGATTCGACCAGAAGAAAAGGCAACTGGAGCTAGCCTTAAGGTTGGTATTGCTACTCCACTGCGGTTGTCAACCTCGTTGCCTTCCCCCGTCTCATTCACACAATCTAGTTCAACTTTAACTTCTTTTCACGGTGGCCTGCTTTTCTGCTCTCTGTGATGCATGACACAGGTTCCTCCCCGCTTCACCCAGGAAACTTTATTCGCTCACGAAGAGACCGCAGGTCATAGCAAAGGATTCGAGCTCCGGCCCTGCTTTTAAGTTCGCGCCCTAGCGCGTAAGCTGTATACGTACTTTTGTAGTCGGATCCGTGTTGGGTGGCCCGCAGCCCGTTACAGTAAAACAAAATAATCCAGGCTTGGACACTTTCTCTTCCAGGTTGTGACAGTGTAAGCGGAGCCGGCCAGATTTGGATCGGTTGACAATCATCTATCTGTCGTCCAGGGGAATGTGCTTCTGTTCAGCCAGCTAAGCGCTTATGCGTATCGATGGGCCTTTCAGATCTGCTTCGTATAGACGATCCTCACACCCATCATTCAACTCGTGAACCGGGGTATATTGTACTGCATCCAGGAGACTCCCGTCATTGATTGAATGGCGACAGGGAAAGGGAGTCGTTCTGCCCCGCTTTTGACTGGCTAATTTGACGCTCGGGCCATCCCAAACTGGTACTTTTGTGTCCCACTCCGCCCGCTTTTCCAACCCTTTTGGGGTAATTCGGCCCACAATTGAATCTTGTGTCTTCTACATCTTCGCACCAGTTGTTGAAAATCGTGTCTTGACCATGGCCGACCAACCTATTGCTATAGCAAGTATTGCTAGTCCTTTCTATAAGATAGAAGCCTGACGGAGTTATTTAAGGATCCGGATTTGTATGCTGTTGACAGTACCTACTATCCCGATGATTGGCAATCGTAAGTGGCTCGTGCAGCAACTATCCCGGATCAGATATAAAGCTTACCTTTGGTTTCATCCAGGGAAACAACGTCCATCGGATCTTCGATTTACCGAGGTTTGATGGAAAATGGCAGACGGTAGGTATATCGACAATCGCCGAAACCAGAAGACTAATTGCAAACTCCAGGTACCAAACACTCCGGAACAAAGACTACATGTAAGCAGGCGAGTTGAGGACAAGCGTTCCATCGCGCGATCTCACGCATCGTTATAGCCTTCCTTCGGATGAACGACAGTTCGAAGCGTACGAAGCTGGGTATGTCTTTGGTCAATGCAGTTATCTGCATAATAGTATCCTCGCTAATGAACATAAGGCATCTTGTTGCTCTCATCATGGAGTCGGAAAGCGAAAACCCATTCTTCCTATCTCCTATTGGTAACTCGCCCCAGCATATTCTGGACATAGGAACTGGCCGGGGGACCTGGGCTATGTACGTGTGTTATCTTATCATGTTTCTTATCGAAATGCTTCCTACTGACTCCATCAAGTGACGTTGCCGACATGTTTCCTAGCGGTTAGTTTCCACAAGCATTCTTTCACTTTCATGCTCCTGACGGGCCACAGCAACCGTTCGTGGGGTCGATCTTTTTCCGCCACCGGTTTCCTGGATGCCCCCAAATTGCATTCTGGAGGTCGACGACGTTCAGCAGGATTGGACATGGCAAGGGTCATTTGATTTGATACATATGCGTATCATGATCGGGTCATTTGATGGAACAGAATGGGACAGCCTCTACCAGCAATGCTTTGAGTGAGCAGGAGTGATGACCCTAATTGATATCTGAAATAGCGTCTGACAGTTCGGCACTAGGAAACTTTGCCCGGGTGGGTGGATTGAGCAATTGGAGGTCAGTCCCGTCATTGAGACTGATGATAGTAGCCTGCCCGCTGACAATATCCTGAATGACTGGGGTCCGAACATGCTGGGTTGCGGTGAGCGCGCCGGTCGGGGCTGCGACACCTTCGATACTATGGCCAGGAGAATTCGAAACGCGGGATTTGTCGATGTTCATGAGAAACTTTACAAGTGGCCTATTGGACCGTGGCCTAGAGACCAGAAACTGAAGGATGCAGGCGCCGCCAATTTCGAGCATTGGGTTAACGGGATGGAGGGTTGGTGTATGTGGTTGCTCACCAAGTTCGGCCACCCGCAACCCTGGGACAAAGAAGAAGTCTATGTATATGTAGCCAAGCTACGAAAAGAGCTTAATAATCCACGATTTCATATATGGCATCAAGGGTAAGTGGTGTATTCTTCTGTCTCTCCCTTTCCATTTCTTCGACTGACGACGCAGACGGAGAGTATGGGCGCGAAAGCCGATGCCAACAGATGCGCCAGATAACCCAAAAAATCGTTCAACGAGACCATCATTTTAACCGTCACCTTGAGCATCGGTGAAGAAAATCCAACGCCATTTAACGCAATAAGTGGGAGATAGAGAATTCGGCGTGTCATTGTCCCGTGTTGAGCGAGCTATTGCTAGAAGAAAGTGCGGATATCAACCCTCCAGGCCGCAATTATGGAACAGCTTTTGCGAGGCGCCTCTTGGTGAAAAGAAAACAAAAAAAAAAAAAAAAAAAAGAAAAAGAAAAAGAAAACCCCCCAAATACTGTACATACAAATCTGATCTAATTAATCGCCACAAGCCCCTGATTCCAGCTACGTTGTATCGTTAAATACGAAAGCATTCCTTGACAAATTATCACCTCATAATGGAAAACTGTCGACGAAGGACGGTCGTATTGGCCTATTGGCCTACTGGCTGCAGTGCTGCTCATGCTGTTGTATTGAATGACTTGTTGATTTATCTCGTTGCGGCAATTTGATTCCTATCTTCAAAGACAAAAGATCGTCCTGTCCATTCCCATTTGTAGTGATTCCTCTTCAGTATTAGCTTGCGGATAGGGAGTGAGAGGACTCTTCCGGGGACTTGCATCCCTCGTATGCAAATCCCTCGTTGGCATCCTTGTCAACGTTTCTGGTAGCTGGGATAGGGGAATAAGGGTAGGAGATGCTGGCCCAATAGAGATACGCTTTATCTGTCTCAGGAGCAAGGAACTGATATGTAATTCAGCTCAACAAGCCTTCCTCTTCATCAAAGCAGATTCAGCGGCGTCTGGCTCCAAGATTTCATACGTAGCACCTTTGGAACGGTCGCAAACCCCTTTAGTGGGTGTCTGCGGACTGGCTTGCCAACGGAGACAATTCAAACAGCCGCAGGAGCGTTGCCTAATGCTTGTGATGAGCACCCGCGATCTAGCTCGGAGAAATCTCAGAAGAGCTATGACGAGATTTAAGTGTTCAGACAAAGGCTGCCATAATTGTCTGGAACGGGCGAGATTGCAAGTTGGATAACATTACAATTGAGGGTCTGTACAGTAGTTTTCGAAATCAGTTATACCTCCAAACTCCTGCAACTGCATTCCCGGATAATAAATCCGAGAGACGCTAACCCACTTTAGCTTACCGCTCTATAAGTTTGGCAAAACAGTGATAGTAATGACCTTACGTTGATAGATGAGTCATCGTAATAATACCGTAATATACCATAGAACCACGTCGAATCCTTGGGGAGTTGTGTACAGTGACTGGCCATAAGTTTGGACACCCTCCTTAGACCCACTCAGCTATTACATAATTTTCTGCCGGTTTTAAAAGCTCATGCCATTTAACTAATACTGTGTATACCATCCCTCACTATCAATGATAGCTTGCACCCGATGCGGCATAGTCTCAGAGAGATGCTTTAGGTGCTCAAGGTTCAATTGGTCCCATGCAATCTGTGCTGTATCTATTAAAATAGCCTTTGTCTGCTCATTATTCCTCATATCAATGAGATCAGGCCGAAGCTTATAGATCTCGGCCTTCAACAACGCCCAGAGGTTCTCAATTGGATTTAAATCAGGCGAATGTGGCGGCCATTCCATTACCTCGAGCTCTAAGTCCCGTAGAGCTTCTCGGACGACGTGGGCAGTATGCGTTGGCGCATTATCATGCTGAAAAATCGACCCTTCGTATGATATCAAGATAGGTAGGATTCGGAGGTATAGATCCCGGATAACGGTGCTATTCACACCTCCACGCTCTGATTCCGGATCCCCGAATAGCGGAATCAAACCAGTTCGACGGGTAGCGCCCGAGAAAGCAGCCCAAAACATCTGCTTAACTTGCTTTCCCCGTTGTGGAAGGCCTTGAACTTGTCCAAGTTTTGGCTGGTCTTTCGGCTGAGTAAATGTCCATTCTCGACGGACACCAATTCCACGCTCCACCGTACATTCATCAGACCAAAAGACGCGAGCCCAATCTTCGGGAGTAAAGTGTTGATAGCGAAAAGCCCATTGAAGCCGTTTAAAGGCATGTTCCTCAGTCAAATAAGGTCGCCAGCTACATCGCCATTTCCGGAGGTTTTCAGCGTTTAGAAGCCGTCGAATTGACTTCATTTTCACTTTGTGGGAGACCCCAGTAAGAAGGTCTTCGTGTGTAACGCGAGGGTTCCCGTGGATTGTATCTAAAAGGCGTGTTTTATCGGCTTCATTAAGCTTCTTCGGTCGGCCAGAACGCGGCTTTGAGACACCGGCACGTCTTTCATGCTCCTTTTTAATTGTATACCGGATCCCCGATAGTGAAATCCAGGGGTATCTCTTATGGATACGCTTATAACCCCAATGAGCAGCCGTATGAAGCTCACAGATCCTCTCGCGTAAAGCAGGTGTAAGTTCTGAGCGTGGAGCCATAGTAAAAATAGCAGGTTTTGAATGATAGAAAGGTAGGCTTCATGAAATAGTATAAAATAGCTAGAATGGCTAAAATCGCGAGAAATAGCGACGCGTAGCTAGCGTGTCCTACTAGGCGGTGTCGGCTACAAGGGAAAGCGGTATGAAAGTGGGTCTAAGGAGGGTGTCCAAACTTATGGCCAGTCACTGTAGTTGGTTTGGAGGATGCGCCGTCGTTAGGGCACGATGAGCCGCCGCCCGCTTACTCGAGGGGGATGAGGAGGTAGTTCGCTAGTATTGAGTGGATAGGACGTGAAGTTTGGTTGCTTTCAGCTATTGTCACGACCAACGTTGTCCAATAGGACCCGAACATCTATTCAAGCGGAATGATCAATTTTATAACGTTATCATTTGAGATATTGACGCTCATGGCGGTTTGTTACCAGCTAATGAGATCAAAGGAATCGAAGAGGGATAAGGCAACGAGATGTGGGATGGAAAGCTCGCGAGGGACGATTCTAATGATCTAAACCACTGACGTTCATGAAGGCCGAAAAAACCATGATAGTACTGGTCACTACAGTGATGCAGCAAATGTTTTAACACCCCTCTGAATTTTTAGATTCTGCCGGTCAAAAATTTGGATTTTTCAACACCCTTTAACTTGTTTCTTAATGAAACACTTGGCCTTTGTGTATTGAATTGAATTATATCTTCTATGAAAAACACCTACTGAAACAAGAATGTTTGAAAAGTAAGATATTATAAACTTGCTCTTCGGTTTACAATAGGCGGTCTCAAAAGCGGTCTGTCCAAGGGTGTTAAAACATTTGCTGCGTCACTGTAAATGCTTACAAGGATGAGGAGCCCAACTTCCGTTGGCTGAAGTGTCCGTAGACCAAAGAGGCAGATCTCAGCCAGCCGCCGTTGTATCTGGCAGTCGAGACAATGTCATATCCATTTCCGGACAGTATATATGTACGACTCGAGTTGGTTCTAGCCCCAGAACTAGCCGCCTCATTATCTAGAAGTGCTGTGTATTTATCTGGGCGCTGATAAGACGACTGGTCCCAGACTCCACGACAAAAATAGGCTGCGCCACTCTACATCTTGACATGCAGCAGATTAGCCGCCTGGCTACATGTCACCTCTGGATTCGCCCACGTAAACATCCCCTAAAGACAGAGCTTGTTGATTTGCTGAAAAATATCACAAATCCAGAGCTCTTCCATTGCATGTGGAAACTATTCGCGCTTACCCCGCCCCTAGGTTAATTCTTCCACTGCGAAATGATTTTCACGCACCCCTTAAATCTGACACCACGCTGTGGTCCTGCCTTGAACGTCAGAAAAATCGAGTCCACAACTTACGTGGACATGAAGATTCTGCTTTATCGGGCCTCTACGGACTAAAATTGGACTCCAAAGTGATTCCCCTTTGATCCGCTATCCAATTCCATCAAATTTCTTCTCAGTCAAGTAGCCAATCTACTTGATCACACAACGCTTTCTAGATTTCAATATGCCAGTCTTCACGAAGCAGTACCATCACTTTATCCCCCAATTTATCCTCAAACAATTTGCATATACCGAGTCGCCAACCAAAAGGTTTGACCTCAGATCATTCCGGAAAGCGTGTGAGTTCTACCTGCTGACAAAACTCTAGTTCCGGAAACGGAGATGGCCTTTTGAACCTGTTTGACCTACGAACCGGGCAATTCATCACCGAAGAGGTCAAAAGGTCATGCGGAATGTACAATTTGTATTACATGGAGAATGACCCGGAACATATGAGAATCGAGGATCTTTTCAGCGGCATAGAGAGCCAGACGAGCCAGATATTTATCAAGATCAGAAATGCCGCAAAGGAAAAACTCGACCATGTCAATATCCTCGAGAAGGATATTCACATTTTATTCAAGTTTATGATCCTCTCCCTCCGACGCTCCAAGCAGTACCGAGACGAGATGCAAAATCCTTACCGTGAGAATGACTTTATGTTCCAGCGCCTCTTCGAGGCATCGCGAAAAGAGGGTCGATCTAGCGATCCAGGAGAAGTCTGGCTTGAGCAAATACTCTATCTTTTGAAAGCGACCCACGAGGACCTTTTTGCAGATGCAGAACATCCTGGTGATAGCACTTCTAAAGCTAGTGCGCGGACCTACAAGCACTTTGTCGAGAATTACGCCCTTCAGATCTGGCACGCGGCGGATGGCTACGAGTTCTTTCTCAACGAGAGTCTCTGTGGCTTTGAGGGCGATACCCAATCGTTCCTGGGAGCAGAAATAACCGAACACGGGCCTCAGCTCATGTGGATAACCACAGATGACATGATACACGTCATTCTTCCTATAAGCCCGACACTTGCTGTCGTGTTCTGTGACGAATCAAGATGCTGGGAGTCGCCATTCGCCGATGCTATAATTCGACACGACAAGACCTACCCGCAGAACAGCTTGCTGGCAAAAGCACCGCACAAGGATATTGTCACTGGCGAGGTACCAGCCAAGAGGAAAGGAAGGAAACGATGGCCCGCAACGGTAAACTGGAGAGTCAGTATTGGCAAACTTTTACAACAGCACCATCGAGTCATCGCGTCCTACTCACTCAGTCATGCTCGCTCAATCGTCGTCTTCAACAGTAGAGCGCGATTTGAAAAGGCTCGAAAGGAACTGGAAGTATTTGCCAAGCAAAGAGAAGAAGTTTGGACGAGGCAGGGAATTCGGTACGGTCAAATGAGTGGGCAGCAACCTGCTCATGAAACGACGGAGCTCAGTCCAGAGCGGTCGAACAGGATGGTAGATAACCATATATCTGCCTTGGACGAGGTTCTACATATCATAAGAGTCACTCAGGAAATCCCACCGCGAAGCAAGGAAAACTCTTGCAAGTTCTGGTTCGCTTTCAAGGCTATTATATCACTTGTGGCTGCAAAAGTAGGGTCCCCTGAGACGATGCCCATCATGCACCCTGCTATGCTAGCAGCATTTGAATCCCTTTATCCTCCAAAACAACCAGAACATAAGGATCTTTTTATCTTGGACTTTGCCGGGTTTCTCGACTACGTCATGGGCGAAGCAACATTTGCCCAGCTTTACTTCCGAAATCGAACAAACGATCTCGGAATGGGTAACAAAGGTTTCCTTCCTGGCTCCAGAGCTCGAGAAGTATGAGAAATTGCTTGGACTCGTTCTGGGATCTATGGCCCCGAAAGTTGATGGAACAGAGCAGTCCTACCCTCCAGCAGAGGATCTCCACAGGCAACCCTGCTTCAAAGCAATTTTCGGAGCAGCTCAGACATTCGATATATTGAGATGGATGTTCGAAGAGCGACAAGATATTCTAGCAACCTTTGTTCAGCGGTGTGCTGTACCGTTGAAGGATGCACAGCCCAATCTCATTCGCATGCGTGGGAGGAGATGATTCCATCGGTACACTAGGTATTTTCGATCTACTATACTGAGTATTATCGGAGAGGGTGGCACTTTGACTACGAACAGATTTGGCTCCTTACTGGATAGTTATCCGGAGAATCTCTATTTGCTTCCTGGCTTATTTTTTTTCCCCTTTTGTGTTTCTCATTCGCTGAATTAACTAGTGACTGATCATATACGTCGGAGATTGTTCTGCCTGGGTCTGCAAGAGGTACCACATGAGCGTTGTCCCGTCTTTTGTCTTTTTGTCTTTTCACCACCTCGCCACGGCTATACCTATCCAAAAAATTGACGGAAGTAAATGAGAAAAAAGAAAGATAAATTAAACGACAAGTCTAATCTTACACAGCTCCCAGGTATTATGTCCCTCCACCAATCTAGCAGGAAGAGTAATCGACCAGGATACTCAAATGAACATCAACAATCACAAAAAAGAGAGCCAAAATCTATCCAAGGCAAAGTGACCAAGCACGGGGTATCACGTGGCAGGTATCGACGACAGACACGACGCTCGGGGGGGGGGGGGGGTTTCATAGACTTTAGTAGCGCACTGTAGCGCGTGTATGGCAGTTTCTGTAAAATACATCCGCCGTGGTCCGATTATTGTACTATAGATACAGCGACAATTATAGAAAGCGGTCTGAAATAAGGATCGAAATACGTAATCCAATCAGAGGTCATACAAGGCGGATTTATTTTCCGGGAGTGAAGTTGCCAGAGAATAGCGGTATAACTGATTTCGAAAAATACTGTAGAGCCCAGAATTTTTATAGTTGGATACTTCAGATCACGTTGATGGGGCACTTGAGCGTACACTTGAGCGCACACTTGAGCCTGATTCAAACTGCGACCATTCCAGAAGGTTGAGGTGAATTTGACTCATTCTCTACTTGAGTCTAGCATGTGATCTCTGGGGCACGCGCCTGGCTGCCATCTCCCTGTCGCGTCCAGGGTGAAACTACTAAACAGGATAAGCCTACACAATGATCGTATGGGAGACCTGTTAAACATGTTTGATAACTTCGTGAAGTGCTAATCTCATAAGCGGTCCCTGTACAGACACCATACTGAGATTATGGCAAGAAGAAAGAGAATCTATTGCCTATAGAGCCCACGGGATAAAAAAGCAGATTCATAGAAGATAAGCACAATATATAGCTTGAAGATTGTAAAGCAACTGAAACAGATAAATAGAATGACACATGTACGTAGGCTCCCACATTCGCGAAGAGGTAAGGGAAAACTACGTGAGAAAAAACCTTGCCCAGAGCCCACAAATACCCAACTAGACACTCAGATCATCGAGACTTCTTTCTAACACTTCCTGAAAATGACGTGCTTCATCCCGGCGAAGACTGATCTGTGCGGATTCTGCAGCCATCCGAAGCAATTCGTCGGTCTCGTATCCGCTCACAAGAACGGGCTCGAAAACACTTGGGAGCTTCGCGATGATATGCCGTTCGATGACCTGTCTACAAACGTTGTCGACGAAGGTTTTCATGGCAACCTGAACTAAATTTTTAGGAAGAAGGATTCGTCATCAGGAAAGGCTGACTGAACTTGTAGTATGCGGTAAGATCGTTCTGTGTCTCGGAGCAGGCCTGCTTCGTCATGTCGACAACCACCCGTTCCTGAAGTGAAGTAACGAGCTTTTCAATTTCCTCAGACGAATTGCTCACGTGAAATTTGCCGTTCCAGTCTGTTTGAATGGCATTGCGCATTGGATCTTGGATCTGGCACTTTGATCGCTCATTTCGAGCCTTCTGGATATTGTCCGTATAATAATGATTGTATGTGATAGGTTGGCGCGCCTCGTCCTCGAGCAATGTATTCAACTCATCGATTGCGCGCTGGGTATTTCCTTGAACAGATTTCTCAACGCAGTTTTGGACATTTTGGCGGACCTTGGTATCCTTGATCACGAACTTCAATGTTGCTTGTAAGAAACTAAAGACCAAGTTCGCGACGGCGTCAACATGGTCACGAGCGATCTTGCCCCATCGCATTGATTGTGAATGAAAAAGCTCTGCGAGCAGGGCGTGGTTATAATTTCCCGGTAGTTCCCTGCCGCGCGTCCGGTAATATACCTGATATTATTAGGAGATGATCGACAATTGTTTGGCTCCCCGCTCACCTGCTTAACCCACGCAGCCATCCCTTCCTTACTAACAAGAATCTGGCCCTCTTCGTTTAGAGATAACTCCATGTTCTTATTAGAAGAATTTGACTCGAGAGACTGATCATCTTCCCTACAAATTATTTTGCGTGTCTGACCGTATTCTCTCATGTGATTCGCAAACTTCTCGTTCTCGAGATGGACCACAGCGCGCAGCCGGTTGGCGAAATACTTGTCTTGGACGTCAAAAAACTCGCGTCCCGGCCACCATAGTCGCCGTCCATACCAGCTCGCACCAAGCCCTGGAAGTCGACACTAATCTGTGTCAGATATATTCGGATCTGACCAGCAGTATTTCGTTCCAATCCAAGAGCAGCGAGATTCTGGATTTCGCTCGAGAAGCTCACGCAGTTCCTCTCGTACTTTCGGGAGCTCACGTTCAATGTGACTATCCAGAAGGTCTTGGAGAAACACTCGAAGGTTCTCGATCCCAACGCGTGATGGATCAAGTCCCAGGCTACTCCATGGTTCACCGGAGAAGAAAGCCTGCTCTGCGCGATTTCTCGCACTCGCGGACGAGCTCTTCCGCAACTCGGCAGGAGCCGGATTCTTGAGCAGGAAAAACCCCAGGTTGAGCTTTGTACGATCCATGTTTTTCGCCAGGCGTGCAACCCGCTGCTCGGTACCAGCATTGATAAGATCCGGTTTGGTAATGATCCCAACCATTCGTACCCCATCTTTATCGTAGCGACGGGCTCGTTGGATGATGCCTTGAGTATCAACATCGCTACTTGCTGGAACAACCGCGAGTACAATGGTCCGCGAGCTTTCGAGGTACGAATCTACCAGATCACTGACAAGCTGCATGTCGCGCTCATTCTCAGACACCGATATCAATCCGGGTAGATCAACAATAGTCAAATGCAGTCCGGTATTACCCACTAACTCCAGTCGCAGAACATCGGCGGCAAAAGCGGGAGCGTCGGTCTGATCTTCGGAGGTGCGAATACCCATGGACTGACCTGCGGCCTCGATGATCCCGGGGAGCTCAGCGAAGTCACGGAATTCCATATGGAACGATTCCAAGCGCCTTTTCTCTTCCTCATCTCGCGAGAAATGAGGAGTTATCGTCGCAGTCATGCGATTCGCTTGCAGAGTATGTCTCAAGACAATTTCCGTCGCAAATCTGGTACACAAACCATCCTGCCTGGGGAAAGGAATTCCGCTAATTCCTTCCAGTACGGAGCTTTTGCCAGCGGACTGATCGCCGCATACCAGCAGAGTCAGCCACAAGCTCCATGGTCGATTTATTATGCCATAAATAAATATAAGCGTAGATTGGACTCTTACTTCTGGCGAGACAGCCGTAGAGTATTCGACATCACACCGCTCCAGGCCGAAACGCCCGGATACGCTGGATGAGAGAAAGGCCCTGCCACGCTGGCCTGTGGATTCGTTACACACGTGGGCTCCCTTGCCGTAAAGTAAACGCATTTCCAACGGTCCGATCCGTATATTGCTAATATCTGTGCTATGGGTTTCGTGGAGAAACCCGCGCTTCTCTTGCGCATTATAGTCATTATTTCTTCTCAGCGTTCAGCTAAAGCTTGCCGTAGTATTCTGGTCCAACGCAATCACAAATAGCAGTTTCTCCTTGAGTGAGATATCGCATGTCGATAGACGTGGCACTACTGTGCGTATCAACCACTAAGGATCGTACTTCAATAGCCGCAAGCAATCTTTGATCATTTGTTACATGGTGTGCGATTCTTGAGCACTACTGTAGTTTTGCTTTCTTGGGAGTTTCCTCACTTATGCAGACCGAGTACGAGCTTAGTGGGGCAGGCAATACAAATCAGCTGCAATGATGGAAATAATCAAATCTTTAATCTACTCGGTAAAATGTGGTGGCTCGCGACAATAGCCCGAGGGTTCAAAAAAGCCATCTCGGTACAGTCCATATACCAGTCAAACTTTTCTGTCTGCACAGCTTAGAAGATCACTGGTAAAATACAAACACCCCATGCAACGACAAACGGTCCATCGCTCGCCATGGCATTAGCTTGGCACTGAGTCAATTGAGGCTTATCCAGTGACCGTCCAATCCGGCGTCAAAGATGAGCGTGTTCATATTCTGTTGGTTGAACTGGTGGTCATACCTCAAGACCAATACAGACTGATCTTGCTCTGATATACATAATGTGATACCCAAGTAAACCTCCAGTCGCATCACTGCTGCCGACGTAGGGGTCGGCCAATCTTCTGGCCCTCTGTAGCTTTGTTTGAACCCTGCCTGGTCCCCTTCTGGATCTCACTTTCGACGATTGCCAATCGACCAAAAATGTCGGCCAGATCGTTGCGAATAGTTTCATTCCAGGTTGCTTGGCCCTGCGATGAGCGCTCAATAAACCTGCGGAGACAGTTAGCGCTTTATATTGTCACTCAAGATGGACCACAACTGACCGCATCCGGTTATCTAGTCTAGATGTTTTTAGCAGGCCAATCATGATTATGTGCTTGATGGGATTTTACTTACTCCGTCAGGCATTCCAGAGCAACCGAATTGCCATCTCCGGAAAGCTGAGTCTGCCCGCGTGGTTCCAAGTCCCTTTGGTGTCCAAAC